CCCATTGTACTACACATAAGTTATCATAATATCATGTTATTGAGCAGGAAGAATGTTTTTAAGGTGTGCAATTTACTAGAGTTTGCCTAGAAGCTATCAGTATACAGAAATATGGAAAGGTTATTTATTATCACCCTTTAGTATCGCTAGGGGACAAATCAAGACATAATTTATGGTGAGCATAGCATCAGACTGCTGTCAATTAAAAATGTAGGCAACAGTTTATTGCTAACTGCTCGTCATGAGTCTTAGCTGTTCACATAGTAATGCAAACAATGGTACAGCACAATCTGAAAATGTTTTTTTTATTGAATCGCCTTAACAAAATGACATTGCTGTTTTATTGTTTGCCTGCATCTGTGCTTGATGAGAAAGCTCATGTTTCTGGTTTGTGGTCAGATTTCAAGGTTTTTGTTACTGTGCAATGCCAAGTGCTTTTCTCTGGGAAAAAGGATGACTAGTTTGCATATTGACAWTTTTAGCCATGTATGAATAAAAGAGAATGAATTGATGCTAACTTACCCTTCTTCCTGAGTTCTGGTTTTCCTTTTTTAACTGTTGCAAGAACCATGTCACCTGATGCGGCCGCTGGTAGYCTGTTCAAACGTCCTTTGATTCCCTTTACGGCAATAATGTACAAATTCTTGGCTCCAGTGTTATCGGCACAGTTGATAACTGCACCCACTGGGAGACCCATGGCAATGCGGAATTTCCCGCCAGAAGTACCTCCACGTCCTATTCAGATATCAACCATATATATATTAATTATATAAAATAAATATTGTATCTGGCCTCTAACAACAAGTTTAAGCCAAACAGTGCACAATAGCAACTAGYAGAAAAATTGTCCATTAAAATGTACATTGACCATAACAGTTGAGGGTAAAGAATAATACTTTGTAGTCAAATAACTTAGGATCACAAAAATATTACAGCTTAATTTTTGCAGTGATAATAAATTGGTGTTCAGGTTAGAAAATATGTCATTCCGTTGAAGATAGTGAGCTTCAGTTATCAACAGCAATTTCTCTTCTTTCATTAATCTTCAATCTCCACGCTGCCTATGATATATACCGATTTATTAAGAAAAGAGAACTCGTTGATTTCAGATGGTATCACTTGATATCGAACCTTATTTTATCCCTTTGCATAGGAATAACTCAGCCAAAAAGAAACTCATCACAAAACTTAAATATTGCACTSTATAATTATCTTTTATTCAGATAAAAATCCTTCAAGATGATGAGGATTGAAGCAGATTCTGTTCGTTACTACTCATCGTCTTACCTCTCTTCGACATGTTGGTTTACAAGAAAGAGGTCTGTATCAACTGCGCAAGCGCACAAATTAGTAAACTCGGGGTTCCTGTGGTGATTTCAAAATGGCGGCCGCCATCAGGTCTATTTTAGTAGACTTGAGCGGAACGATTCACATTGAAAACAAGGTTATACCTGGCTCAATTGAAGCTGTAAAAAGGCATAGCTACTTACTTTACCTATCGTTGCTCTGAATAGAAATAATTATCAATTTAGCAACGCAAATCTCTTTCTTTACACAGGCTTCGAAGCTCTGGCCTCAAACTTCGCTTCATCACGAACACAACGAAGGAGTCCAAACGAACACTTCTYAGTCGACTKAATAACATAGGGTTTGATTTAAGCGAGGATGAAGTGTTTACCTCACTATCAGCTGCTAGACAGCTTGTTGAAAGGAGACAATTACGACCAATGCTCATGTTGCAACCTGATGC